AATCAGATCACGTCACGTTCCTTTTCCTCCTAACGGCGGCGTTATATCGTTTGTTCCTTTTTTGTTTCCAACCTATTTTCCTTTCTTTTTTTTAATTTCAGTATTTTTTTTAATTAATCCTACATGGCAATTTTATTGGTAATGAGAAGTGGGGTGAATTATACAATTCACCACAGGGGGTGAACCTAAGTTCTGTCCATTAACTAATCTCTTTTTCTTGACGCAGTTGTACGAGGATGACATGTGCTTGTGTATTTTGGATACAAGCCCACTTATTCATGGGTAATCAAAATCTCATTCTATGTATTATGTAAGACCAGTGTTAAAAAAATGGGTTTAGGCAGCCCATAAATGAAATGATCATTCTAGATGTTGAAAAAATCGGTCTATCCATCCGCCTAATTAATAATTTTGTATAAAACATTTAGTTACCGCCTAGCAATTTTTTAAATTTTGATTAAGACTATGCTTAAGCCTTCCAATACTTAGTGTGGTTTGGTTTTTGAATCTTTGGTTAGTGGATTGGGTTGTTAACATGTTTTGCCTTTGTTGTTGTTCTTGAATTCTAAAAGCTATCATTTTTTTTATTTGGGCATTTTCAGGCACTCTCTTATTATTCCAAAGTTACATTATCCAACCTTAGAGCAAACTCCTCCCTCAGTAAGTTCCTCTTCCTACCTTGAGTAGTTGCTAGTGTCATTACATTTATTTTGATTATAGGTCTCCTCCAAGGAGCATGCAGATAGTTGCTGCCATGTGTTCCAAAGTGCCTCTCATCAGTAATGCCATTGTTAAAGCTACAGACAGTGGTATGTTTCTGTATATTCTCAAAAACATCGCATTACTGCATCCATCCCTTGTGACATAGTGATCTGTTTTACAAATGAAATTAGACTTTTAAGGGTTTCTTGCCACTTGTCATCTTCTTGAGTGATCTTGCCATTGTTTCTGGAATCTTTGAACATTTTAAGGTAGACTCATAACTGAACCAAGATTTGTAATTCTCATCAGATTCATTTAACTTGCTGGTTAACAACGGAGCTGCAGCTGGCCAAGTCATATTTCACGTAAACACATACTGACTTTTTTATGTTTCTCTTAATCCCACTGAGGAGGGATTAGTTTCTGTTAACAGTTGTCTTTCTTTATGCATTTTTCTCAGACGCATATTCACATAATCCCACGTAAGGAACGTGACTGTTTATGGGCTTCTGAGGTACAAAACAAGATCAGAATACATTACATTTTGAATGTTTTTATGAAAGTTGTATGATGTGGTGGGTTCTTTTTATGGCAGAGCTTGCGGAGACAGACAATGAAACTGGACAAGGAAGCATCTCAGCTGGCGTTGCGTGTTCGAGAACAGTTGTGCAGAGTTCCTGAAGAACAGTTGGTTCAGCCCTCATCATAAGTTCCTTTTCAAGAGACCCAATGTTGTAAACACTGTGCTAAGCCAACCCATGAGGAGTATATTCTGTATAGTTCATATTCAGAGCCCATGTAAACATAAAATTGGTTACCAGGGGCTTTATTTTTTTTGTATTTCTAAATAATAATTTAATATTTTGACTTTTCCTTTTTGTATGGATTAGTGATGACATTGACATTGTATATTCTTCTTGAAATACTGTTCGTATAACACGAGTCTTTTAGTTCTTGTGCGCCACACCAGATAAGTTACAGAGGCACTCAGCATCTGTTGAAAATGGAAGAACGTTAGGTCATGCACACCGAACACCTCCACTACCTGGTTCAAGGAATGACTTGCAAGCCAGAACTCAAGGAAGTTAAAGTTAATGGTTTTGTTGTCTCTGAGAGACAAACAAAAAGTACGTCCACTAAACACTTTGGCTGAAGAAAAAGGTGAAGCATCTGCAAAGCTGCCTCATCCAAACCTAGAGTATCTAAATCAGTTACTCAATGTACAGAGAAAGGAGCTGTTTGTTGAGGTTGATGATGACCAAGATTGGCTATATGGTCTTTTGGGTGTCAAGTTAAAAAAAGGCAAGAAAAGATTCTCCTGATCCTGATGAATCCTTGCAGGTCTGGAGCCAAGCATTCAGAATAGAATATGCTGATGATATTATAGCTCTTATGACTGTATATTCTGATGTTCCTACACAACCCATGAGGATAACTTGTTCTTTGTTTTCAAATACTCCAAGGCAAAAAATAAAATAAAAAATAGACTAGTTTCAGTAAAGTAGTTCAAACCTAACAGAAGAGGAGTACCATTCAAATCTAATCTCTGACACTATCTTATTTACATAAAAGTAGAAAACTTCCTGCACTAACAAGCACATGATTTTTATCATCTTGGGAGGGATGTGGTATCAATTGATGTTCAAGGACAAAAATAAATAAAGGGATGTGGTTTCAGGAGACAAGGGAGACGAGGGAAACAAACTCAAGAGTGACCCTGCCCTTTGACCTAGTGTTGATAACGAAATGCTCTGGGTACTTTCTCAGCAGCATCAGCAATCCATACCATGCTTTACCCTTCGCTTCTGGAACTGCCCAGTTCTCAGGTGTTAGGTATCTTCTCACACGACTGTGATGCCATATGTTCCCGTAATTCTCCAGTATCTGCCACAGAGATAGACACAGTTATGATTAATCACCACAATGGGAGATTCTTAAACTTTTACAACCACAAGAAAGGTTCCAGTAATATAAAGCAGGATTCTAGCAAAATATAAACAGAATTTATGTTTGCCAAGTTTATTAAGTGTATATAAACACACGTCCAAACATCTAAATCCAAAAGAATAGATGGTATTGAACTAACCACAGAATGAAGCTTCTCCATAGCCATATACTCTCCTGGACCACAGGAATCAGAAAGCACATTGGCAACAGATGACACAACATCTTTTTCCTCAAGCTGCAAAACTAGCTGATCATCAGCTTCCCGATCTATCCTTGTTCTTCCCTCTCCCTTCCTCTCTGCACACATCAAATGGATATAGTCTTACCAATCAATGACCACTAACCCCAATATAAACACTTCCACCAAAACAAAGAAAGAATATACTGTATAAACCACAAACTTAACTAAATCCAAACGCATGGTAAAGGAATATTTCAAAGAAAAAACAAAAGTTTGGATCAAAAGAAGAAACTTTTCTTAGATTTATGCAATACAATCCAACAATAAACCAAGACAAGAACCACACACCCATTCTTCAGTGGTGAAGGTGACTGGTCATACTGAAACAACAATCTGATCAATATTTACAATGTTGGGTTCAAATGATTCAGAGTAACAACCAACTCAGTGACTCCCAAATTCTTTCAAGCAGGGTTCTAAAAATCGGTCTAGACGGCGCAAATCATCATCAGACCTAAAACAAAACGGTCAAAGAAATCGGTCTAGACACCCGCCTAATCAATAATCCTCTATAAAGTATCAACTTATCGCCTAGCGATTTGTTGAACATTACTTTCAGTCAGTGTTCTAAAAATTAGGCACCCGCCTATTTTCGAACTAATTTTCTAAAAAAATCGGTCATTGTCTATGCGTCCGCGTAAACAATAATCCTCTATAAGACATACCTAATCACCGCCTAGCGATCTTTAGAACATTCATTTCAAGTATATAACTACAGAGTAATGCTTCAAAACCTATCAAACAACTTTAAAAAATCAGTATAGACGTCTAAATCATCGGCCCGCCCGCCTAAACAATAATCCTCTATAACTATAACTACAGAGTAATGCTTCAAAACCTATCAAACCAGCTTAAAAAACTGTATAGACGTTCAAATCATCGCCCTGCCCGCCTAAACAATAATCTTCTATAAGACACCTAATCACCGCCTAGCGATCTTTAGAACATTCACTTCAACTATATAACTACAGAGTAATGCTTCAAAGTCAATCAAACCAACTTTAAAAAAATCAGTATAGACGTTTAAATCATCGCACGCCTGCCTAAACAATAATCCTCTATAAAACACCTAATCACCGCCTAGCGATCTTTACAACATTCATTTCAACTATATAACTACAGAGTAATGCTTCAAAACCTATCAAACCAACTTTAAAAGATCAATATAGACGTTTAAATCATCGCCCCCGCCCGCCTAAACAATAATCCTCTATAAAACGCCTAACCACCGCCTAGCAATCTTTAGAACTTTCATTTCAACTATATAACTACAGAGTAATTCTCAAAACCTATGAAATCACTGCAAACAAAAATCAAACTAAAGATTAGTTATACCAAAAGAAGCAGGTCCAGACCCTCCATATCCTTCTCTCCTTGACATCTTCCCACTACTCCTCCTTACATTAACATCATCTTCATCATCATCTTCATCATCATCAAAGTAATCTCTCCCCCTCCCACCTCTCTTCCCTAAACCAAAACCATAACCCCCAGAAACAACCTGCCTCACTCCTCCACCTAAAACACTCCTCACAGGAAGCAGAAAATAAAACTCCTTATCCCCAATCTGAAGCAAATCCTGAGAATCAAGCTTAACCGCAGGGTTCCCGGGGAGATGGAGCACTCCTTCGACGACACACCCGTTCTTCCCCAAAACCTCGAGCGCGAACCTCCGGCGCGTGAAGTCGTAGAAGATCCGCGCGTGGTTTCGGGAGATGTTCATCCCGCCGCCGAGGGAGGAGAGGTCGACGTCGACGGTTGATTTCTTGGAGTTGCGGCCGAGGATGATTGAGTATGTTTGCATGTAGTATTCGAAATCTTCGCCTTGGAGCTTCGCGAAACCTACCTCCACGTCGCTCTCGAGGGGTGTCGCCATTGTTGTTTTTTTTGAATTGAATTGAATTGAATTGATTGTGGTTTTTTGGGAGAGGGAGGAGATGTGTGTGTGTGTGTTTGGATGAGAGGATTAGTTTATTCGAGGGTTGGATAGTAAGGAGCGGGTTTGAGTTTCCCAATCCGGTTCGGTTATTGGATCCAACATTGGGAGCATGCCTGCGCAAAAAAAAAACAGAATCAGAAAAACCGAATCGAAACTGAACCAAAATACTCGTAACCAGATAAAAATCTTCAAATATTGGAATGGCTCCTATATTTCTATATTCGAAAAAATCGAACCGAAATCGAACCGATATCCAAATATCTAAAAAAACAATAAAATACATATGGTATTAAAATGCAATAAATATATATTGTATATATATATATTTGATTCATATATTAAATGGGTACTCTGAACGGAACCGAAACCGAACCAAAATCTCATAAACATCTATTGGATATAAAAATGATTTATCCGATATACCCAGAAGCGAATATATTCGAAATCGAACCGAATATACCCGAATCTCCAGGCCTAATTGGGAGGTGGGCAGATTAAAAAGATGGTTCAGGTTAGATTGTAAGTAAATGCTGTGAATAATACGTCCATGAATTTGGTAGATTGTAAGTTGAAAAGTCTATATAACCACCATGGAGAAGATTAACACTAAAGCCAAGCTCCTTCTGCAACTATTTTTAATGGCTTTTCTACTATCTGACGCTGAAGGTGGGAGGTATGTACCTGAGAAGCCCCACCAACAGCGAGATTCTCAGCAACTGTGGGGTTGGTTGGTTTCCTATTCCACGTTGTTATATGGCTGGCCTTTTTATCCAGGATCGTTGGTGATTTTCCTCTCAAAGCTGGCATCAACAAACAGAAACTCGCGCATGGATCAGACTACAGGTGATGCCAGTGTTGATGCATCCACTGTGTTTCCTTAAGAATGATGATGCATACTAGCTCAAGCTAAGAAATGAATAAAAAAAGCAGAGCAATAGAGCATCGGTTGTGACCTATCTTCGGCTACGATTAGATTCTAATTCCAGATCACAATAAACTCCATGTCTAGTTCCCACTACTTTTCTCATACTAACACCACACAGATACTTAACGCATATATAGAGAACTGGTATACCAATAATAAGATCAGGATGCACCATTTTAGATGAGATTCATTATTAAATTTCTGTTTCGATAATTTCGTCTGTAACATAGAATGGTATCGACTGAGGTTTGCAAAAGATCTAAATTACATAAGACAACAACTAGCAATTTGACATTTTCCCAATGATATCCACTAAATGATAGAGCCATCTTGAACAATGAAGTTTTTTCTTCCAAACAAAGTGAAACATTCAATCCTCGAAGTCCCTTCAATGTTTCACCGCGAATTCGAGGATAGAGTCAGACAAACCATTAGACCTGTGACAAACCCCATTGTCACGTTTACTAAATCAACTCTAGTCATCTGTATAATTGTAAATGAAAAGAACTATCATTAGTAAGCCTCTTACAAGGTGGCTGGTAATGTCGATGTATCAATCATCTGGTGGTTGGAAGGAATACTCGAATCAGCTCTTTCGCAGTCACCTTTTTCCTACAAGTAGGGCACTTGCCTTGCTTAGATATAGCCATCTTTATACACCCCTTGCAGAAGATGTGACCACATTTGGTTGACATCTCCTCAGTAAACGGGCACATACAAATTGGACAAGAAAATTTCGGCTCCTCTAGTGGAGGAGGAGCTGTATACACACTCTGCACAAGAAAAAAAAAGAGGTAAACATCAAACTAAATACCGCGCAGCGCACATGCTTTCACAAATCAATCCACGTTGTCTCCTACCGGCGAGATGTTGAGTTCAACAACAATAGGAACATGCTCACAGTCGATAACAGCTTGATTAAGAGGAACCCTTCTACGCTTGTTGGCAGACAATCTAGTCGTATCACCTGCACTCACCACGTCCAAATAAGAAACCAAACACAAGAGTATAAAGTTCATTGGCTTTCATAGTAAAACTCACCTGATTCTACATCAACCATTAAACGCCTCCTACGTGCATCACTTGATTTACTTCTAGCCTAGCATCAAAAAACAAAACCGGTCAACATTTTACTAAAAACACAACCTACCCATCACTGACAAAAGATAACAATACATACTTCAGCAAAAGCACTTGCAGATGATTCAACAACATCATCTTCAATAGCATCAACATCAATCATAGCCGGAGCAGGGTGAGAAGGTACAGACTCCCTTAGAAGTTCACAGCTAGGCACCATGGGAGATGACGATGCTCTTACAGAACCAGAGGTCCCTTCTTGATCTCTAGGTGCCACATTAAGATCAATCAACGCCTTCCTCCGTCTGATTCCTCGAGTTGATCTCCACTCCTGTGTCTGTGTGTTCATCTTTCGAACTCAAGAGTGAACTAACCTTTGTACCTGTAAGTGTTAAACGAAAAAATCTGAAACTTAAACGAAAAAAAACAAAACTTTGATAGATTTTCAGCGATTTTAAATTCGAAAGGATTCAACTTTAACGAGTTTGAATCAAAATCAACGATAATTAATTCGAAAATTGAGTATTATAATAAGAAACGATTAGTAGGGTTTGGTACCTGAAGGGAACTGTTTGCTCGGAGAGGATTAGGGAAAGCAATCTCTTTTTTTTATTTCTGGGTGTAATTAGGGTTTTTGAAGGATTGAGAAAACATTAAAAAGGAAGGTGAAGAAAACGGAAACGAAGAAGGACACGCGGACTGTGAATCAATGCGGTTGTGACACGTGTCGAGGACGAGGTTGTGGTCGGGGGGCTTGGGCTCACAAGTTAACGAAACGGCATGGCTTTTGTGTGTTTGTGTACGTTTTCGAATTTTGCGTTTTTGAACATCCCGCACGCGCACTTCGTGTTTATTGCGCGAAAGTATCAAAGTTTGACCCACTGTAGATGCTGGAAGGAGCCCATTGGGCTAATATTTTCGACTTTTATTTGACCCATTTTCGTTACGAGAAGTAGATTTCTTTTCATTTCTTTACGTGTTTACTTCTTCAGCCATGGACGTTCAAGGTGTTACTCTTGACATTTGTAAAAATATTATGTTCCATATAATCCAATCAAATATGTTTTTTTAACTGGTAATCCAATCAATTATTACTAGAATAACATTTAGTAAAACATTTAAAAGATGCAAATGTTCTGCAAATGATATTTTATTCAATACTTTCATATAGAGCTTTTGTATAAAAAGTTTAGTAGCTACCTTATTATTAGATATTTAGAGTTGGAAGTCATATTTCATGTACATTTTTGTCGTTTTAAACACTGACTAGAGTTTCACCCGCACATCCGTGCGGGTATATTTTTCATTGTATAAATGTATAACTATCTTTTTAAATATATGATTTTTATTTTAGTTTTAATTATAATTATATCTAACAACAAATAAAGAAATAGTTATTTTATAAAAAAATATTTAAATTTTTTGGTAAGATCTTGTTAGATTTTTCAACAGATTTTGTTATATTTTAATTTATTTATTCTTGATATCCTTATTAATTATTAAGATATTTTGCAAATAATATATATTTGATTGGTTAATGTAACAATCAAATATGTTAAATCAATAACTAATGACATAGTCCAATATGACTCATAAATAGTAGATAAATTTGGTACTTCTCTTTTAATAGAGAAGATGTACCTTTGAACCTCAATTGTAGATTTTCACAGCACGCAAGGCTATATACAAACCCAGGTACATTACAAGTTTCATAAGCTTCTTTAATATACATAATATATATGAAGACAAATCATATGTAGTGATTGTTATGTACTTATGTTTTTGTCAGCGCACTTAGCCTGAAGCATCACCATGCAACTCATATAACAAAAAAAAACAAGGTTTTAGTAGAGACGAAATTGTGGTGGTTATCAATCGAAAAATAAACACAAAAGAGTACATAACATCAAATAAAAAATTATGCAGAAGCAAACAACAAACAATGAATTTGATGATAAAGAAGAAACGAATTATCTTCAGTTCCTTCACTTTCGGCCCCATGGAGGGAAGCAGCAACTCTGCACATCACATTTTACAACAAACGTCATGTTAGATTGCCAAATAATTAATTTATGTATGAAGATGAACATATGAGGATTTTTTTTTCGCTGAAAAGTATATGAAAATGTTTCAATGTCTCATACTCTTATATATTAACCAAATACTATCGTTTGATGATATAGGGCAGGTAGGTAATTAAAGAATACAGCCAAGGAATAATAAGTTAGCTTGTCACTGGCCAATATTGTCTACCATGTAAAATATTACAATGGTAAATGAAAAGTAGATTATGATATATACTTTTGATGCATGGCTATATACTCTTTAATCAAAGCTTGCATAGTTACTCAAATAATTGTATGACAGTATAACGAATACATAAATACCTTGGGACTAGAAGGTAGCGGTTTTTGATGTTGGTCGTTGAGTGGCCGACTCGGGGTGGTATGAGCAGATCCATTGGAAGACCTCAGACTCCCACTTTGCTTCCTGTCTTCCTTCACTTTTTCAAAGATGAGTGTGTAGCTCTGATCCCCCGAACCCGATCCTGGAAACGGTGGAACTGAGACCTTGGGGAAAAGATATTTATTTAGCTGACATGTTGATGAATTGTGACTAATTTTTGAACTAGAAATGATAAAAATGATATCATATGTTAAAAGGATTCTAGAGCAGTATCGTCCCAATTTAAAAATTCATATTAAAAAAATATTAATTTTATATTGAACAGAATAATTGTTATATATTCAAAAGTTAATAAGAGCACTTTTATCTCAAATGCTTAGAGCACATGCATTAATGACCCTCTTGAGGGGAGTTCATCGTGCTTTTTTATTATTTTTTTTAATTTTTTTCTTTTCGTTTATTTATAAAAATATATATATATATATATATATATAAAAAAAAGAATCAATCGTGGGCCGCCACGTGACGTGAGGTTCACGAAACAGTGATGATACTGGATCACTCCAGAGAGCCTGCGTGACGCGGATTCACCGAAATTGTATTATTTTATTATTTTCTTTCTCTCGGAATTCGTGTGAACTTTGCCGTGACCCTCTAATGCATGTACTCTTAAGGGGTGCTTAGATAGAAGGTGTCCACAAAAAAAAGAAAAACTGAGTGCTTAGGGAGACAATCTGATTTTCAATGAAAACTGATTGATTAGGAAGGCAACCCGATTTTCATTGTTGCTTGGCCTTTTCCACGGGCTCCACGACACGTGGCAGCACGCAATTGATTTTTTTATATTTTTTTAAATTCCAACAAAATAAAAAAATTTAAACACTCCCTAGTGGGGATGCTGAGATAAATGTGCTCTAACTTCATCTATATTATGTTTTTATTTTTTTTTTGCAAAATTGGGTTCGATTGCTCCACTTGGATAAAAGTGTACGTACCCTTTCATTGCTAGGACCTCTAAGATTGCGTATCGGCCTAGGTTGCACCGGTGGAGGTTCATATGCTTGACGTCTATTTGTTTCCGGTGGATTTCCATGTGACCTACCTCCACCACCATATGCTTGACGGTTGTAAGTTTCTGCTGGAGGAGGAGCTCTGACTCTGCTGTTTCTTTCATTGTGTGCAGGAGACGACCTGAACTCGGTTTCTTCTCTACTACTGAGTCTTTCGTGTCTTGATCTTACATTGTTGTTTGGTGGTTGGTCCTGTCTATGATTTGGAGTTTGCGCAGGACTTGGACTCATGTTTGGATACTCGTAGGGATTAGACTTGCTTGCATCTTGTTTTGACCTACTGGCTTTATCGAACACAACCGTGAATGGAACATCTTGCTTCCAGTCTCCGAATTTAGGCACGTGTGGACGATTCTGTAGCCACAAGGAACACGAGGGGTTATGTATAGAGAGTTAGAAACATATATATCTATGCTAATCATAATCCTATTAAACATATTGATACTAAGAAAACAAAATAAGAAAAATTGTGATGAGTTAAATCAGAAAAAAATCTCGTAGTCATGCATGTAGATTCTAGAAAACTCCAGATCTTAAACTTGTCAAACTTTTTAGATTTAGGGAAAGAAAAACAAACTCTAGTAACCTAGATCAAAAGGCCTATTTGATATTAACTATACATTCATACAAAGTAAAACACATAGAAAGATACAAGACCCGTTGACTTACTGCTGTCATGTTGGTAATCTCTAGCAGCCAGAAATGAAGAACTGCTTCTATGGCTTTGAAACAAAGATTATTGTTGAGAGAGAGAGAGAGAGGAGAATAAATATAGGAAACGTGTAGACACGAAGGCGTTGACGATAAATAAACGTTGACTTGTATTTCTTGTGATTGGGTAAAACGACAACTTGTTCTACGCTGACTTACCTGCTCTGCATTTTAATGATTGATGAATATGTCAAACATAAGACGTGCTTAATGTGTGTTTAGGTACAAGTCCAACATCAGACAAACATCTTAAATGGTCTTTTCCTCACCAACTCCAAGACTTGGTCACTTGGCGCAAATTGTCTTTGATAAATATTTTAAGAAAATACAAAAATGTATATTCTCCAACGATTAATTCGCCAACTTTCTCCAAAGTTGAAAGCCAAAAAAAAAATTAAAAAATTGAAGTCAGGCAAAAGCAAGTGAGAAACTCTGATCTTTACTTAACTAGTTGCATATTCTCCGCGCAAGCGCGGAGCCGGGATCATTATGTTTGCGTGTATTTTTTTCGATTGTTGGTTTAGTGGATTCTTCTAATGACATCAATTAATAATGAAATGGAAAATTTTATGTTTTTATATCGTATGTCAAAACTTGATATAATTCTATATTGATAGTATTTATATTTGTATTAAACGATTTATCAATATGAAAATAACCTTAATTAAGTTAATATTCGTTGTTTAAGTTTCATTAGATAGGTTTTTATATATGTTTTTTTGTAAGTTTCGGTTTTGTTCATAAATGATGTGGCATTTTTATCTACGGAGTCATCGACTGTGGGAATTCATTCGCCGAAGTCTGGAGTCAGTGGTGAGAAATGTTTTCAATGAAATTATAGTAGTTATTAAAATGTAAGAGAAATTACATATTCATTTAATAAATAACTTACTTAAATTTTGTTGTTTATTTTATTTTATTTCACAAACATTTTTTTTTGAAAAATATTAGGAATGTGTTAAATGTTATTTATATGCGAAGTAAGGTTTATAGGAATAGTTAGGCTATAATATAGTTTTTAGTGTGTAAAAGTAGGTGTGTATTTTTTTTGCTGTAAATAGTTTTTATATCGTAGATCAAAACTTGATATAATTCTATATTTATAGTATTTATATTTGTATTAAACGATTTATCAATTTGAAAATAACCTTAATTAAGTTAATATTCGTTGTTTAAGTTTCATTAGATAGGCTCTTATATATGTTTTTTTGTAAGTTTGAGTTTTGTTCATAAATGTTGTGGCATTTTTATCTACGGCGTCATCGCCTGTGGGAATCCATTCACCGGAGTCTGGAATCGGTGGTGAGGAATGTTTTCAAGGAAATTATAGTAGTTATTAAAATGTAAGAGAAATTATATATTCATTTAATAAATAACGAAAATAATTAATTTTTGTTGTTTTATTTTATTTTATCTCACATACAAATTTTTTGAAAATATATATTAGGAAATATGTGCAATGATTTAACGTTTTGAGCTCCTAATCTATATTATTCAACCCTCATTAAGCCATCCACGTATGCACCCGCGTGGAATTCACTTCTTTTTTTTTGTCTGTTTGTTTTTGGATCTATTTTTTATTATTTTTGGGTTGAGCTATATTATAATAGGATAGTTTTAAGGTTTTTTAAGCCATCTGCGTAGGCAACCACATGAGACTTGTTTTTTTTTGTTTTATTATTCGTTTTGGATTCATTTTTAACTATTTTGGGTTTGAACTTGTTAAGGTTTAGGGTTTATACAACTATTTTGATCTTTAAAACAATAAGCCCAAAAAAAACATAAGAACCTTATAAACAAAAAGCCCATATGATAATAACCTAAATAAAAAAAATCAAAAATACATGATAGCTGCGTGGCTTGAACCCACAATATTGCATACTTAATTAAACACCTTATACCACTTGGCTAAAGTGTATTTCATTGTTTGTGACCATCTTACCAAGACTATATGTGTTTAAAAAATATTTTTATGATGATAACATTAATTGGTTTATGCATGCATGAGAGCAGTGGGAATTGAACCCATGTCCTTGCAGACTAAACATGGGGTCTTAGACCATTTGGATAAACTGATATTCTTTGTTTGTAGCCATTTTAAAAAAACTATCTATTTTAATATAAAAATATGGGACCCACAATTTGCCTATGTGGACACCTTAAGGAGCCTTTAAACTGTATCATTATAATATAGATTACACCACTAATCACAACCATTGACTATAGCTATATATAGATTAGTAAACTTGGGATTGTTAAGATTCAGAACAAAGGTGAGAAACTTGGGAGAATGTCTCCCATGGATCAGGTCCTTTGGAGAACCCATTTAGTTGAAGCTTCTCTAATGGGCCAGTGTTTCTCTTTTCTCTCTTGCTTATATAAGCAGAACCATAGTATTTGTTAATTTTTAGTGAACACTTCAGTTGATTGTTGCTTTAATTTAGCTTTCTACTAGTAGATTTCGTTTTCAGCTATGTTTTATGAACAAAAGTTTATATCTTGGCTGGACTTTTTGCTGATTATTTAGCTGTTCTCCTTGGTTCATGGGTTTGAATTAAGATACTGATCTAGGCTTGTTGTGTGCAGGAGTGCTGAGCTGAATAACCGAAGGTTAAAAAACACATTTGCAAGGAAGGAGAGGATGGTTAAAAATCAAAAGGAATGTAACCAGGGACAAAGCATCAGTTACATAGTGGAGTTTACAAATAATTTTGCAAACAAACGCCGACTGTGGGGATCGAACCCACGGCCACGGGATTAAAAGTCACGCGCTCTACCACTGAGCTAAGTCGGCAAGTGTTCATTCTGGCTTTATTTTATTTATAAACTAGACAAGACTAGACTAGACCAGAACTAAGTTTTTTTTTTTTTGATTAACTTGGGGGTATCATAGGTCCATGGAGAGGACTAGACTAATCTCCAAAGGAAGGTGCAGCCTACGGATAGACCCTCTCTCTGAATATTCAAATGGGCTCTAAAGCATGAGACATATCCGTGTTAGGTGACCAGGATAATTGTAACTTAGTTTCGTGCAGCAGGTGAATCGAACCTGAAACATGTTGATGTCTCAGTCCCGTCTCCTTACCACTCGACCATAATCACCCGGTCAGAACAAGTTTGTTTTTGAGCCTTCTTCTTCCTTACATACTAGACTAGAAGCAAGATCCAAAGCTCAAGGTTTTTGTTTTTCATTCTAACATTCCTTTTCAATATCAGTGCTATTCTCTGTGTTACAACTGTTTTAATCTCAAAACTTTACCCTACTGTTGTCTCTTGAGATACATATGAGAAAGAAAAGAGACAATTCAAAAGACAAGTGCGTAAATCTATGTGACACTCATTCACCCTAAGCTTGAAGCAACAAACAATTCTATCCACGTTTAAATCCCAACGCAAGAAGTATTTTCTTTCGGGCCCTGAAAGCAAAAACGAACACACCTTGTAAAGACAGAGCAAAGGAGTTTGTCAAAGAGAGAACTCCAATCTAAGCATGGTGATGGTTGCATATAATCTTATCAATGGTCATCGAATACAAAATAGTAAAGTACGCTATAATTAAGCATGGTGAAAACAAATCAAGGCATCTTGTAATGGATTTTTACCATTGGTATGAGTAGAGATTATACACAAAACTCAATATACTCAAACACCTTATTCACTCCAATGCTTTTTTACATTAGCCTTTCGCTCATGAACTCAATCTCACTGATGATCGAGATCATTGATTTCTCTAATACTAGAGATAGATACCCTGTACTAGACGTCAAACTGATGCATGATGATGAAAAGACTAGACACACAGCAAACTAAATGAATGAAGATGAAAAGACTATATACACACGTATATTTAATTGTAGTGTATCAGTTTAAAAGATTTTGGTCATTCAATGCTATATAAACTCTTTAACTGTGCCCATTAGCAATGTGAGTACATGTCAACATATAAGATTGTTTCTAATATTCATGGCTAGGAAGAAGACCCAAATCAGCACCTTAAAATATTTTCCATGCTGCAGCATTTTTACACGGTTAGGGAGTGAATTGTAGAAGACAAGAGCATTGGTCATGCTTCTGGTCTCCTCCTGATTCATCTTTGGCTTGAGTATCTTGAAAAGCCACGTGACATTGACCTTTCTTATATAGCTTACGGCCCATACGCCTTACCTGAATTTTTTATATCAGGCCCATGAAATTATTGTTTTCTGACTCGCATTATATTTGTGCTAAAAACCATTCCACTTTTAAGTATTTTCGATAAAACGTTATTTCCTCCGTTTTAACTTAATTATAGTTGTAGAATAATTTTTTTTGTTTAAAATTAGTATCATTTTATAATTTTAATAAAAAATTATTAATTTTATATATAATTCTATTTTTATATTAGTTAAAAATAGTTAGATATATAGATAATTATATTTTTGTTTTGATGTAAAATTAAATATGTTTTTAATTTATGTAAAAATAAATAAAACAACAATTAAAGTGAAACGGATAAAGTAGTTTATTACATTTTAAATACCTAAAGTAGTTTATTACATTTTAAATACCTTTGTCTATCTATAAAGCATATACTCAAATGAAGTCAGTTATCATTATCTATCCAGATAATGATTTTATTTATAGAAAAGGGGATTGAAGGAGACATCGATATCGTCATTAATTCACTATTAGTAATCACTGACTATTATCGACTTATAAAGGATCTAATTATCTCTTCCTTTAATGGACAGTGAAAAAAATTAACGTGGCAGTTGAGAGAGAGTTAACACAGAAACAGAACTCAGAGTGAGATTAATAAATCCAAAAAGCGATTATAAATTAATTAAATTAAATTAAGGAGGAAAAAATCGCGAGAAAAGAGGAAGCACGACGAAATAGAGAAACTAGGAAGCGTGCTTTGCAATGGTCTTTTATCTCTCTCTCTCTCTCTCCTCCTCATAAATATTGACCAGTGTCTTCCTTGAGAGAGATAAAGTCGCCTCTTTTAATTTTATTTTAATGTTTGTTCTGTGAAGGTAGCAGAGAGCATTAAGCACATATCTCGAGAGCACAAAGAGGTCAGTGATATTAACTGCTCTCTGCCTCTTCCATACCTCGCGTGCATGTATTTTTGGATTTACATTGTTATTGATTTTTTTTATTACCTTTTTTCATTTATTTTCTGGGCAACGGCTAGTTAAGTGGGAGGAAGCTCGATGGATTACGGAGACGATTGGTAAAAAAACATTATCTTTCCTTTTTGATGGGTTTTGTTTTTGCTGATTGATTTGATTAGTGTGAAATAGAACCACAGTTGTCTGATTATGAATGGGTTTTTACTGTAATGGCTTAAGATTTAGTATTGTTTCCTGGCTCAGTGGTGGGTTTTTGTGGTTTGATTCATTTTCTGGGTTTAAGAATGTTTGGGGGCTTTGTCTTAATGAAAATGGTGGTGGGTCAGTTAATGTTTCATCAAGTTGTTGTCTTTAGGACTTTGTTTTAGCTTTTTAATGCTTCAAGTTTCTAAAGTCTCCCCCTTTTTGTTGTAACGGTGCTTTATGTTTGGTTCTTAGATCATTAAACTACACACATTCCTCTCAGGATCCATGTTATGTGATGCTGTAGAATATGATGCATTGTGCTTCTTTATGCTTATGGGTCGGTCTCTGCTTAAGTTTTTTTTAAGTCTTCACTCTTTACAAAGCTTCCAAGTAGATTAGACTATTTCACATGTGTTAATGTACTAAGGATTTGATCATGTGATTGATATCTAAAACTTTGCAGTAGCCCTTCATGGAACTATGATCACCCACCACAGTCTACTTTCTGTAAGTTCTTTCATTATCTTAGTGTTTCTTACAGCACTGTTACATGCATATGACTAAGTCGTTCTTCTTATTCCAGCTGATGTGATCATGACTGAAGTCACGTTAAACCAAGAAGATCACTCATACATGTTAGATGATGAATCAACCCCAGTGAAGGAGTGTAGCGAGCTGGGTTATCATGTCACAACAGGTTGAAATCAAGTTTTCATTTTGATTTTCAGATGTCTAATTTCATGATGGTTTATAATCTAATGATGAGTTTGGGTTTTAAGATGAAACGGTAAAGAAGCTGGAAGTGCAAAGTGAGACACGCTCTGCTGTAAAGAGGCGTCGGATGTTACATTTCGAAGACCAGTCTATGGAAACATCACTCTTCAGCTCTGAGTGTTTGTCTTCAATCCTTAAATCAAGCGTGAGTACACTAACCTATTAACTCAAGCTTTAGATATACACTCGAGAGGCATTGCCTATCTTTGATACTCTGATTGATGTTTATTCTATGAATGTTTAGGCTAGAGAGGAAGTTTATGATGAGCTTTTACCAGAAGGATCTCTGCTTATACAAGGGTTTTCAGGTCCAGCTCTCTTATAACTTCTTCCAACTCAATTTGGCTTAATGTGTGTTTCCATTAAACAAAACCTCGTCTCTTTTTTTTCAGAAGACGCATCTGCCTCAAGCTTAGAGGGCCTTGATCTGTGTGCAGACGAGTGGTATGCTGATTGTTTAAATGATCCCGAGGCTCCTACCCTGCCTGATGACTTGTATGTTTCCCTGATTCCATCTTTCTTTTTGAGTTTAAGTCTCCTATTTGCTTCAGTAACTGATTACTATTGATGTTCTTCCTCTCAGAAACATTGGTTCCCCTGAGGTTCAAATAGACGTTTCAGGTGAGACTTCTTTGTGTAGGAGTCTTCTTTAACTTTCCCTAGCACTAATTTCACTTCCCTAAAACATGTGTGTTTGGTGCAGAGTATTTAAACCTGCCACTAGAAACAGAAACCAGAGAAGTTAGGAGGCCAGTGACTCGTTCTTCTCCAAGTGTTATCTTTAAAGGTAAAATAAATAAACGTTTTTGAGTTACACATGTGTCTCACAATGTCTCACAGTCACACATTCATTATAGCAGGTAGGAAATCATTTGCAAGGCCGGTTCCAAAGCTACCATCATCTATCATCTACCCATTTGCATTCATCAAACCTTGTGGAGTTCATGGTGACATGACTATCAAGGACATAAACCAGAAAATCCAAACTCCAGCAGCTAAGCCAAAGGAAGACAAAACAGAGCCTCCAGTGATCCAAACGTCAGCGTTCTCAGGGAAACCAGTTGTTGGGAAGACTAAGATCCGCACAGAAGGAGGCAAAGGAAGCATCACTATCATGAGGACTAGAGGCTAAGCTATTAAGTTAAGTAAGTAGAAAGGTCTTAAGGTATTTCATAGCAGGAAACTCTAAACTTTTTTGCCTTCTTACAGTCAAGAATGGCCTTTTAATCAAAGTACAGCGGCTAATATTATGAATCAAGTTCTTGTTTTCGTTTTGGTATCAGTTGTAAGAAAGTGGAAACTGAAGGATCTGTAAGCCACAATGTGGTAGAATATTTTTTGGTTTGTATAAAGAAGTCTCTTGTTCTTTATGTAGTTGGAAACTTAAAACCAAAATTCTGTTTTTGCCTTTTTATCTTTTCTGTATATAATAAATTCGTCATTTAGTATTTGAGTATCTGTCATATGAAACCAGCTTTTGATACAGGTCACGTGAAATCGTATTGATTACTGAAAATCAATCAAAACATCAATAAATATCAGTCACGTCGAGTATCTTCAAACTTCAAGTGTATCTCTGAAACTTTTTTAAATACGGATTGATTTGATGCCATGTTGATCTCGTGTAATGATCATTATAGTGTGTAGGACATTTTGGTAAAATGTCTTTCTCAGTCTGGTCCTTGAAATTTATTGGTATGGTTAAAATGAGAGCATAGTTTTGTAGAAATAAAATTGGAACTCAACGAAGATAATATCAGGACAAAACCTCATACAACAAACTAAGTAATAAAGTGTGATAGGTCGTTTCAAAAACATGCGAAGACAACACTAATAATGAATATGATCTTCTCAGTACTTAACAGGTGCAAGAATTTCAAGCTGTGCTCCGAGTTTCTCTTCAGCAACCTTCTCAGCCTTGGCTCTAAGTTTGTTAAGTTGTTTCTTTCTCTCGTAAACAACTTGAGATCTCTCCTTCCTCTTCGCCTCCAGCTCCTGTTTTATCCCACATTTATTGTATCAGAACCGATCAATCACACAAAAGGTTGGATAAAGAGGGAGATGCCATACCTTGATGGTGTCATAGTGATTCCACCCGACTTCAGAAGAAAGGCGACCCAACAAGCAGTATTTGTGACCAGCTTGAAGCCTCAAAACCCTGAAAGTGAAAAAGGATTGTATTATTATACAGAAGAAGAAAGTTTGTGATACTTTTAAAAAAGTAAGAGATGAGGGAAAAAGGGACAAACTTGAGAGCATCGGGGATAACCATCCTCTTGACCTTGTCGTATGGTGGAGGCACACCTTCGAAAACCTTCATGCGAGCAAGTGCAGCAGCTCCACGCTTCGTTTTGTGTGGAATCATACTGCAAATCAAGTCAACCAAGGAAACTCACTCAACTAAAAAATCACTTGAAAACCAAAACTTTCACAAAAAGTAACCCATCCAAATACATCATACAACCACATAAACTTTCCCTCGGCTAAAACCACTTAACAATCAAAACTTTCAAACGAACAATCCTTCCAAATACATTAGAAGCACAACAAAACTTTCACTCAGCTAAAACCACTTCAAAAAAAAAAAACCTACCAAATGCATCACACAACCACATAGAAACATTTACTCAGCCTAAAACCACTTCAAAAACCAAAAATTCACACATGCAACAATTCCAAATACATCATAGAACAACACAGACACTTTCACTAAGCTAAAAGTTACTTCAAAACCAAAACTTGCTAATCTATAAATCACTTTAATACTCAAAAAATTAACCCAAGTCAACCCTTTTAAATACATAATAACAACCACACATAACCATTCACTCAGTCAAAACTTCACACAAACAACCCTGCCAAATACAATACAACAACACAGTAACATTCACACAGCTAAACTTCAAAAACCAAAAACTTTCACACATACAATGCAACCATTCCAAATACATCATACAACCACACCGGCACTTTCACTCAACTAAAAATTCACTTCAAAAAACCAAAACTTTCACACAAATAAACCAACCATACAAGCACAGAGACACTAAAATCACTTCAAAACCAGAAACTTTTCACTCAACTAAAAATTATCTCAAAACCTGAAACTTTCACTTACCTAAATAACAATTCAAAGACAAAAAAAAACCAAAAACTTTCACTTACCAAAATAACAATTCAAATACAAACTTTCACTCAACTAAAAATTATCTCAAAACCTGAAACTTTCACTTACCTAAATAAAAATTCAAATACAAACTTTCACTCAACTAAAAAACAAAAACCTGAAACTTTCACTTACCTAATTAACAATTCAAAGACAAAAGAAAACCAAAAACTTTCACTTACCTAAATAACAATTCAAATACAAACTTTCACACAACTAAAAATCACTTCAAAAACCAAAACTTTACAAACAACCCTTCCAAATAAATCATACAACCCACACAGAAACTTCCGCTAAGCTAAATATCACTTCAAAATCAAAAATTTCACCCAAGTTACCCTTCCAAATACAACACTCAACAACACAAGCATCTAAACACTGATGTATACACATTGAATTGAATGCACACACACAGAGACCAAATGGTGTTGATATACGAACCCGCGAACAGTACGCCAGAAGATCTTGGAAGGAGCACGGAAATGAATAGGCCCATGCGAAGGCTTAGTGTTCATACGCTTACGAAGGAACCTCATGTACTTCATTTTCTGTCTGACAAGTCCACCTGAGAGACAAATCTCCTCGCACCGGACAATGACAACCTTCTGTCCATTGAGAAGCTCCTTGGCCACGATGGAAGCCAGACGTCCCAGCATGTGGTGCCGCGCGTCGACGACCACGCGCTTCGAGCATATGCCTGATCCCGACACCATTTTTTTTTTTTGTGTGCTTTCCTGTCTGTGTGATAAGTAAAGCGCGGCTGGTGACTGTCACTCGAGAAAATTATACACGAGGAGTTAACTAGGGCTTTGGGGGTATTTTCGTCTTTTAAGGGTATTTTAATAATGGGCTCAGTGATTAATTTATGTGCTCTCTCGCTAAGTGCGTAAAGGCCCATTAGTGATTGTATTGATCCATTAAAACCTAGAATGAGAGAGCCATTTTACACGAGACTGACCTCGTCATGGTCATGAAGATTTCAACTTCGACACTTAGAGCATCTGCAACCGTGATACTCATAAGGTCCTTAAGAAAAAAGGTTTTCGGATTGGGAAAGATATTTCGGATTTTTTTAAAATTAGAAAAAGAGAAAAAAAGATGACCATTCGCGGATTGCCACGTGTCTTAGGAATCCGCAAATATTGTAAGGATTCGCTAAGAAACAATCCTTATTTAGGAATTTTAATGATCGAATCCTTAACTTTTTGGGGGATCTAATGATTATAAAATTTGTTTTTCCTAAAGATTTCACCTTAATGACTCTTGTTGTGAATGCTCTTAGCTTGAGAGGTAGGTAGGAACTGTTTAATAAGTTATGGATGACAATAAATCATACCATCAGTAACTATTTTTAATATAGAGTATGTAGGATTCTGCAAGTGGATACATGAATTACTTTCGGTGCATAGTATGCTCAAGACAACTTCTTTTAGACATTTTACATTTAGGCCATGCATATTGGAAGAGACTTCCAATGTGGACGTACTTACTTCCTAATAAACACATTTGGAACTGTTTTTCTTTTCTAATACCTTCTAAACAATAGTCTAATTAAATCACTTCTACAAACATTAGATGCTACCAGAGCCGACTCTAACATCAAGCTAGGAAAGCAGATGCTTGCAGCCGTTTATTTTATTAAGAAGTTTCGGCCATATATTTTATATTGTCCCTTTGGTCTAGTGGCAATGCACGCAACACTCACCTTCTCCAGGTCATGGGTTCGACCAACTATTCTATTGAACTAGATCTTATTTTGAATCTTGACCAATTGAGAAGAGTTTCATACTAACACTGTATCAAATTTGTGTACTTACTGTTCTTTGAATAATGAACAGATTGGTATGATCGTCATACACCTATAATTACAAATACTAATGTTGACAATTTTTTAATTAAAATATGATATGCTAAGGAGAGAAGCTAATTAATTACAGTATTAACTTATCATTTGACCAGACACTTGCACAGAAAAAAAAGGTAGGTTGTGAGAGTTTATCGTTTGACCAGACACTTGCACAGAAAAAGTAGGTGGTGAAAGGGCCCATAACAGACTCCATTTCTTCATATCTTTTGAGATTTGATTTGCCATTTTTTGTTTGCTTGATCGAAGAGAGATGGGCGGAGACGGCAAATTCTACACCTTGGCGGAAGTTTCTCAGCACACGAGCAACCAGGATTGTTGGATCATCATCGACGGCAAGGTCCCCTACTCCACTCTCTGTTTGACTTAATCTCACTAACTGCCTGTAACGTATTTCTAATCTATGTTTGTTTGCTAGCGATAACTTACTGATTATTGGACTCATGAAATTGAATGTAACTGTTGATTCTTGCATAAGAAGAAACTACTCCCCATGTCTCTTTGAAAGATCTCCTAAGACCATGATTAACTCGGATTCTTAGGATGAAGTTCTTAGCGAAAATTTAAAAACTGTTTCTTAATATTTAACTAAAAGAAAGTTAAGAACTGGTTCTTAAAGTACTTATTTAAAAACCGGTTCTTAGCTTTTTTTAGTTAAAAGGTAAGAAACAGTTTCTTAATTTCCGCTAATAACCTCATCCTAAGAACATCGAGTTAATCATGCTGTAGATATCCGTGGTTATCACTTATTATGATGTGACCAAGTTATCTTTTTTTTTCTTTAAATTAATTTTGATGGTATAATTATAGGTTTATGATGTGACCAAGTTCTTGGACGACCATCCTGGTGGTGACGAGGTCATCTTGACTTCTACAGGTAACCCAGACACTTCCGTTTTCTTCTCATGAGTTTTTAGCAAATTCATTACTACACAAACAAAATGTGTTTTGTTTTTTGTTTTTTTAGGGAAAGACGCGACGGATGATTTTGAGGATGTGGGACATAGTTCAACTGCTAAAGCTATGCTTGATGAGTACTATGTGGGTGATATTGATACATCCACTGTCCCAACCAAAACCAAGTTTGTTCCTCCTCCTCCTAAGCAGACCGAGTCTAACCAGAACAAGAGCTCGGATTTTCTCATTAAGATCCTTCAGTTCCTTGTTCCTCTTTTAATCTTAGGCTTGGCTCTCGGTATTCGTTCTTACACCAAGGTTCCTTCCTCTTCTTAAGGAGACTCTATTGGGTGGGTCTTTTGAGTGTTTACCTTATGTACTACGTGGTTACACTCTTTGCCACTTTATCTATCTATCTGCCTGTCTTGTAAAGACTCCAGATATCAGATTCTTATTCGGTCAAGTGGATGGATCTGTTGATGTGAGAGACCTTTTGATTTCAAATTAGCTACATTTGTTTGTCTTATATGATTATTGTTGTTTGGTTTCCTCTCCTATAACAATATTTTTTTTTTCCTTTCTTAGTGGGCTAACCATAACATACAAACAAGCATCCTATGCAACACATATTTTGATCTTCTATATAGATTGAAGTCATACCAGACATATCAGCTGGACCACTCTTATTCTAAAAGTTCAGAGCTTATATATAGCCCCACACATTTTGATTTTGACCTTGTATTTTGAAATATAGCTCGGCTTAATTAGTCCGGCTGAAATTGGCTCTTAAGTCAATCATCTAGTAAGGATTTAAAAAACTTTAATTCGATTTTCGGTGGGAAGAATCTGCTCTCATAAACAAATTTAATTTAAAAGGATTTAGACTTCACTTCACTTCACTATAGGAGGATGTACATGTCTCAGACCTAGAATCTCTTAACCATTCGAAAAAAAAAACAAATTAAACTTGAGAAATTGGAAAATGCAACTTGAATTATACGGTCCCTGGCTCACATTGATATGCAATCTTTATTATGGCGTGTGAGTTTTCAAAAGGATGTAACATAAGAACGAACAAGTTTTGAGTGTAAAAAAAACTAAATGTCAAAAGGCTTTTGTAGTCAGTGTGGTCCTTCTTTTGGCATTTTTATTTTACCACAAATACCAAATAGTACTAAAGGGTCAAACAAAACATTGAACAAGCTGAATACAGATACCCCCAAGTGTGCATTGGCTAAAGAGATGACGTACGCGAATCTAAGTGTCCCAAAAACGTACTAGTCAGAGAGCCCGTGATCAAACAACACCCCTTGTGTGTGTGTATACATCACCATATATCATATATGTATGTATCCATGCAGGTATATATGTGTACGTATGTTAACTTTTGGTGCACAACACTTTCAACCTCATTAACTTTTTTTCTTTCACTGCAAGTGATTAAAGTAAACAAAGAACAATGATTGGTTTCGAGATAAGATTTCACAGTTACATCACATGGTGCTGCCCAATTTTCAAGAGACGTTAAAAAGGTTAAAACAACAGAGATCTTCTCAATGAAACACTGTAATATATTTGTTGTCTCATGTTTTTGTCTGTTTCTTTCCCTTTTCATAATTCAAAACAATGATATTTAACTTTATAATATTAATACAAATTATACCTTAAACTATTCATTCACACAAACACCTTCACGTGACCAAGATCATGCGTCAGAATCATGTCAAGAGAAAAAAGAGTAGGCAAAAAGGAGGGACCAATCTCTATGTAGTTGAATGAAGAGCAAGGACTCAGCTACCAAACTCATACGTGAACCCTCTTATGGTTTCTTATGCCATTAAAAGTCTACATCTGAATCATTTTCTCACACTCTATGCCAAGCCTCATGCTTACACGCATCTACATCAATCATCATCACCATATACGTATAGCTTTGAATAACAAGACTTGATGAGAAAACAAATTCATTAAGCATCTAAATCCTCAAAAGAGATTAGTACAAATGGTGTGAGGTTCATGTCCCTAAACTACTTTCCAACCTGTTCTCTAACCACATTATTAATCTTAAGATTACACTCCTGTTTTTAAGGATTTTGATGTTCGGTTAATCTGTTAAAATCATTACATTCTTACTTCCACACTACATCACTAAAGCTTGCTTCCTTTTGAACTTCATGGACTGACTTGTACCCACTCGTAGCGTCCAGTGAGGGGCACATCATTCACAATGTCGAAGTTGTACCTGGAGATTGTTTTGAAAGCACATGAGTGTTCATCCTCTAGTAATGCAGCAAAACAAAAACAAACACAATAGCAAAAGCATGCTTACTTCTCCTTGAATAGTCTCTGCTGTTGCTGCTCTGCATAAGCAAAGAACTCCTCAAGTTCAATAGAAGTTGGGACCATGCTAGACCCTGGTGTAACAATGATCTCCAGATCCTCAACAAAGTTACAAGGCGTGATCTCCCTTGTGCTTAAGAAAAATAATTAGAAAAATTCAATTAAACATTCAGAGAAATAAAAGAGGCTTAACTTAAGTAAAAAAAAAAACACAAAAGCTAGACTTTGCTGAGTATATGGTCCCATGAGATTACACAAAATTGTAATAAATAACAAAGAGAAGGAAAGAACATTGTCCTCGACTAAGAGAAGTTTCCCAAAAAAACAGAGAATACTACAAAAGTATTCCCCAAGTTTGCAAAAAAAAACACACTAGGTCCCATGAACATGACATCACACTAGAGTACTTGCACTACACTTATGAGGAAAGTGTCAATTTTTCCATATGATATCACATATTAAAAGCTTCTGACATTCATACAACAACCACTTTTGTTAAAACACAAAAACCATATGCTCAAAAATTAACACTGAATGCATCCAAGGACCAGATTCAAGAATCATATCCCTAAACCCTAATGCATATCACTTCCAATGACATTAGCCCAATAAGAAGAGGACTCACTCTAACTAATATGCACAAAAGGCGTTCATAATTTCACCAACTTAGCAAAAGCTGGCCAAATTAGTTATATTACGACACATACATACATATACATAAAAAGATAATAGATTTGTTACATTGATAAGCTCTGCAATGTGGTACACATGGGACAGACAACAATAACTCTAAAAGATCTAATCTTTACACCAAAAGAAACCGACAGTGAGCAGTAATAATAAGATCAGTACATCAGAACAGAGTAAAGTTCGTAAAAAAAAAAAAAGCAAACCAAACATGAGATATAAAAAAAAAAGACTTAAACTTTTAGTTGTACTAAAAAAGCTAACAAAGTTTCAGACAAGCCTAACGCTCTTCACGTATTGGGTAAAAGAAGCTTTTTAAGTAAAATCAATCTCATTTATTTACAAACAGAACAGAAGAAAGGAAGTAACTTTAACCGAATTGGTATTAAGAAGAAGAAGAAAGCACAAAAAGACCGAACCTTTGATGTCTTGTCTCAAACTCAATACTGTTCTCCCCACACGAACATTCATCTCCGTTACAGTCCTGAGCTACAGAAACCGAGTTAACCGAGTCAACCTTCGAAACAGAGTCTTTAAGTCCCGGTTTAAGCTGTTTCGGTGGTTGTTTCGGTTCGGACAGCGAGGGGGGCTTCTCGAGACGGCGGCTACGGAGCTGAAGATAGCAAGAAGAGTCGGAGGAGGCGGAGGAATTGAGCCTCTTCAAGGCTAGGATTTTAGCTGCTCTGGTGCGAACACCAAAAGAAGTTGGCTCAGTGGACACTGTGTCGTTGTTAATCTTTGATTTCTTCATGTATTTTCCCATTTTTGGACGCTCTCGAGAGAGGAGGAGAAGCTGGATTGAGAGCGGGAAGAGAAAATGGGAGGGAAAGTCTTCAAGGAGGGAAGAGAGAGCAATGGAGAAAGTTTTGACGAGTTTTGTGGGGTTAAAAGTTAAAGAAAACAAAAGGTTTAGACTTTTTATTTTATAGTTTATTAAATAAAACCCAACAAATGTATCATTATTATTCTTCAAGACCTTATTCTAATAAATAGTCTTCATTAACCCCGGGTTCTTAAGGCGGGGTTCTTAGCGGAAGCTAAGAAACTGTTTCTTAACTTTCGGGTTAATCATGATCTAAATTTAGTAGAATTTTTCGTTTATACTTTGAAATAACATTATTTTATATTTTCTTTGAAGTAATCATTGTTTTAGTGTTTTATCTTTTAGTTGACAAAAACTTATCTAAATTATTACATTGTGGGTAAAAGTAAAACTATGCAATCGCATAATTATGTTTAATTATGTTTAGTCCAACTCCAAGATGCCACCAATGGTGCTTTACACATGACGACGAAGATACTACATTCTTTGTCGCCTCTCTTGCTAGTTTTAGCTTTGCATATGTCGAAACATTGATATGTATCTATGAATAAACTCAATCATGAATAAGCTATTGATCTCTGTAAGTTATATTTGCTTGTTATGCTTATCAATTATCACATAATTTCTACTAATTGATGTTCTAGGATATTGTCATATAAGCCGCCCTACTACCAAAAGCGGAGCCACTCTTTTAAAATATGGGTCAATTGACACATGTAAAAAACATTATTTGTATTTTAAAAATACTGTAAAAATAGTTTATTAACCCTTATAAAATATGTAAATTATGATTTTGACCCTTCTAATGAATTTGTCTGGCTTCGCTATTGCCTACTAGTAGTTTATGTGTGCGCTATTGAGTTATCATCTGAGGAATAGTCATTGATGAGAAGTCTCCAATCTCCATTAGTACAATTTCTAAAGAAATACCAAAAAGAAGTGCATAGTTTTTGTGTTGTATTGAAACATCGACAAATCTACTACTGAGATTTAGTCAACAAACACCACAAAGCAACTTGCAAATGAAAACAAGAACATGAAAAGACCAAATCACAATATGTGTTCCATCAAAACATTAACAAGTCGCCACACAAACCTTAGCTGATTGATTGTGTTCTCATATATTCCAGTGTCAAGAGCTCTAAAATTGATGTTTTTCTAGCTTTGTCCCTTTTTCCAAGCCAACTTGGAAAAAACCTCATGAGCCTAGAAACATATTGTAACTTAAAAAGCAATAAAAAATTTAGTTCGACTTTGACTATAAAACTAACTTTAAACTTGATTCTAACCATGACGCCAGTACTAGCTCTAAAATAGAAGGAATATGAATATTTTATCATCTTGGGTATCATTTTGAGATTTCAACACTTTTACATAATTTTGAGATTTACTCTGCTTCAGTTTCAATATCTCATCAAATAATACATTTCAATGAGCAACTGAAAACAAGTTAATTAATTAAAAGGCTAAAGTAAATCACAATGTTCAACGAGAAATCAATTACATTAGAACGCAAATCAAGGATGAACCGAATAATATCATCAAACTGATTGCGTTAAGCTTTTCCAACACCTCATATACGACATGACATAATCTAGATGTTATTTATAACATGAGTATGCTAAAATGACTTAAATATCTACTAATTTATTTAGATAATTTCCTACACACATTTTGTGCATCTGCAACAAAAACTTTATAGATCAATGTATAAAGTTGGAAAAGATAGATGTATATAATATCTTTAAGAAATTGTATGTTCTTGACTCAAAAAACTGGTGTGAACTTATTATATTAGTTTTGACTCAAAATCATCTCAAACATTCACTAATAAAACTTTTCTATATCGAATAATTGAGTGAAACTATTTTTGTTGAAACATGTCAAATAGTACAATTAATTTGGTAAATGAGAGTAAAATACATTTTTAAGTTAATTGTAGTTTATTAATGTATTAGTAAATGACAGAAAGATAACACTTACAAGTTGCATATGAAAATTATCATATGATATTGAAAACCCGATTGTGATGCCATAAACTTATCGTCCTCCCATACTCATAGATGGACTAAGCCATCCTAAATTGCTCAAGACTGGCATTGAGAAGGTATCAATCGAAATCAGTTTGTGAAACTTGTGTGATCACATTATTGCTTTCGTGAAACAAAATAATTATCTTGAGGTTTATTATTATTTTGCTTTAGTCGAATAGTTTGTGAATCCCGATCACATATAATGTGAAACTGAGTGATTCTCATATCATATGTCATAGAAAGATTTCAATCCCAGTCACATATGATTTTCTTATTTTATCAACAATAGCGTCCTTTTCATTTAGCATTTTGATCATCAAATTAGTAAGCACATGCACATCACATGATCAACAAAAGGATTATCTTGAGGTTTGTTATTATTTTGCTTTAGTCAAACATAGTTTGTGATTCCCAATCACATATAATTTGATACTGAGTGATTCCCATATCACATGTCATAGAAAGATTACAATCCAATCACATAATTTTCTTATTTTATCAACAATAGCATCCTTTTCATTTATCATTTTGATCAGCAAAGTAGTAAGCACATGCACATCACATGATCAACAAAATGATCAATTAAACATAACAGTTAACCTGATGTGTTCTAGAGGGAATCTTGTCCGTACAACCGTAAGAACATTTTTTGTTTTTGGGTTATGTAAGGTTTTTCGGTGATGGTCATGAAGCTATTCCGCTTGCTCATTCTGCCCAAGTCTTTTTCTTCAATGGTGGCACAGTTGTGGTTGGTTGTGTCTTGTTTCCATACAATGACTTGGTTGAAAGTCCTTGTGAACTCATTGTTCTCATTGGAGCTGAATTAGAATTTGAGTACTAACCATATCCTTCCTCGCACCTTTGGTTGAAGATTTCCATTTTATCAAACTTTTTTACAGTATTAATAATGTTTCTTTTGGACTTTACTAAAATTGTAAATGAATTATTTTGGGCTCCACTTAGGGTATGCCATATGTCACATAAATGGAGTCCAGGATAATATATTTACAAGTTTAGTAAAGTCCAACAGAAACATTAATACTGTAAAAAACTTTGATAAAATGGAGATCTTCAACCAAATCATTGTATTCAAATTCTATTTAAGTTCCAATGGGAAAAATGAGTTCACAGGGACCTTCAACCGAAGTCATTGTATGGAAACAAGACACAGCCATCACAACAAACCACAATTGTGCCACCATTGAAGAAAAAAACTTGGGCAGAATGAGCAAACGGAATAGCTCCATGACCATCACCAAAAAAACCTCACATAACCCAAAAAAAGCTGTTATTACGGTTGTACGGACAACATCCCCACTAGAACAAAGTGATGACGATACACACAATCCCATCGCAGGATACATTTCTAAAAACAAAATCAAATAACGAGGACCATTTCAATTCATTAAATAACAAATGACAAAAGATAAATTAGAATTCTAATAGAAACCTAAATCAAGCAAAGAGGATTATAGAAATTCACTAGATCAAACAACAAAAGATAAATCGGGATTCTAATAGAAACCTAAATAAAATAAAAAACAAAAAGGATCATAGAAATTCAAAAAATCAAAGAACTATTAATAAAAATAACAATTTTAATATTCTAGATGGGGGGAGATGTAAATAAGGACCAGACCTTCAGGAGCAGCGCCGAGAGATTCTGATCGAGGGCGTTGGGTGCAGAATTCAGGCCTAGAGCGAGCTTCTTCTTTTTCATAGTAACCTAAGCGAGCTTTCCTAAAACAATTCATCGTTTTTGTTAATGAAAAAATGCCAGACCAGTGTGCCGGATGTGTTTGTCAAGGCGATGGATAATTTGAAGGCATCATGCACTTGGAAACTTGAATACCGTTTGTTATAATAGGATTTTATCATTATCTAATTGTGTTTGCCAAGTGAACTATTTATTTAGTCCTTTTTTACTTGTATTGCAAACAAACAATGGTTAATTATCTCTTATTCTATTATTCTTAATATCATCAAGCTAGATTGAACTAGTTTTGTCGATTAGACTAGCTATTAGTCCAGTCTATCTAAGGTTGGACATAATATCCGTATCCAAAATACTGATTTGGAACAGATCTGAAAAATCAAGATATCGAATCCGGTCGGATCTAGTATAAATATCTGAAAGATATTTTTTCAAAATCCAAAAAACCGAAACTAAACCTAACCCGTACCGAAAACCGAGTGAGTATTCGGACAAATCCAAACATATAAATATATATGAAAAATATTATTTATAATTATACTTTTACTAATAGTATCTAATATTAAAATTATAAGTTAAAATACATTAATTATTTTGGATTTATATATAGAAATTGATGTTTTGGATACACATTATCCAAATAACATTGTATCTATGGTTACTTTTGAACAAATAACTGATTTGAACTATATATATTGAATATTTTGAGATTTTAGTTATTTTAGATAAGTTTGAGTAGTTTAGATATAAAATATCCAAATAAAATTGAGTAATTTGGTTAAAACCTGAATTCACCTGGATCCAGGAAAACATGACTCGAATCCAACCCGATTTTTTTTTGTAATACCTAAATGAGATTTCAAAACCCAAAAGAATCGATACACAAATGGATCGTACTCATACCCAAACGCACAGACCTAGTTCTAGACCTAGTTCTATCCGAGAGTGTGGGAGATCACATGACTCTAGACAGTTTTTCACGAAGATTCAAGATTGATTTGGTTGGTATGGTCTATTGAAGTTCTCTGCTAACTAAAAGTATTAGTTAACTATATAATTTTTAATTAAGAAACATTGATTCATTCTTAGTGTGTGGATGCTTGCATTTTACTAGTTACAGTTTGTTCAATTCCTTCTAAACATTTTAGTCATTTTTCAGTTGATTAATTTGACAATCCAGATCCAGATGAAACATTTGCATTTACCTTCAATCTTAAATGTTTAAAATATATATATTTATTCAGACTTTCAAACTACCCAAAACATATGTATATATATCCAGTTTTTCTGGAACTTCTGTATCCAATATTTATACAACGACTTTTCATGTAAACAACACAATAAATAGAGAAGAGTTAGTTTGATGGAAGGTTAAATAAGCAAATTTCTATAGTTAGAAGTCCATCTTACAGAAAACAGATAGTTTGAGGGTTTTCTTGCAAAATTCTCAAAACTAATAATTAACAAATCCGTCGCAGCTTCTTCTTCCATCGTCGAACCTAAAAAACGAAACGATTTTCTTTCAACTTCGCGGCAGTAGTGCTCTCTCTCATCGTAAAATGGCGAGCAACAATCCGTCGCAGCTTCTTCCCTCAGGTAATGCACACTTCTTCTTCTTCCTTCAGCATCTGATGATAATCGAAGAACTAAATTTGAAAAAGTTGCGATTCGTGCAGAGCTAATCGATAGGTGCATAGGATCGAGGATTTGGGTGATAATGAAAGGAGACAAGGAGCTCGTGGGAGTTCTCAAAGGCTTTGATGTTTACGTCAACATGGTCCTTGAGGATGTCACCGAGTAGTAAGTCTCGTTTTTGCATTGTCTCTCCTGGTTTTTTTTGCTTGATCGGTTTAGTTCGGTTTAGACTGGATCATATGTGTGATTTAGTGATTTAATTATGTGTTATTAGAGCATTTCCTATGTAAAACTCTATTTGTTCCTCCAGAATGGAGTAAAAGTGATTATGGAGTAAAAATGCTCCAACTCGACTCTATTTCTAACTTCATAATGGAGTAGTGAACAAAAAAAAAAGAGATTACTCCATTTATGATGTAAATCTCATTATGGAGTAAGAAATTAAGTAAGATTGAAGTATTTTTTATTCCATAATCAATTTTACTCCATTTTGAAGTAAAAAATGAAGTTGGATTGGAGATGCCCTAACCTTGTTGCTTTGAAAATATGTATTCATAGATTTAACTGATTAAATGTAACCAGCGTGTGTCTGCAAATTTAAGCGTTATTGTTGCAGTGAGATACGGCAGAAGGAAGACGTGTGACAAAGCTTGATCAGATTCTACTTAATGGTAACAACATTGCCATTGTAAGTTTTTTTTGTTTTAATCGTTGACCAATTCGAAATGCTAAGAAACCGGTATTGAAAAAATGTTGTGATGCAGTTGGTGCCAGGTGGAGCTCCGGAAGACGCAGAATGAGATTTTGGCGATGGTTTATTGGTATGTGATAAGACTTGTGTGTGAGGGGAGGATGTTAACTTTGTTTTTTTTTATCTAACTCTTTATTCACAAGACAAGTACTTAGTTGATAATTTTGAGATCATAATGACAAGTTTGTTCATTGGTCAACCATGTGAAAGAGCTTAAGCTTCAGATGTTTTTTTTTTCAATTAGACTCAATGCTTCATTGCTTCGACTTATTCAACTTTTCTTTACGTTGTTATTAACCCTTGTTCCCGTTAGACACTGATAAGTCATCAGCAGAGTCTACTCTCTCCTGTTTTTTACTGAATTCAGTATGAATATAAGAGAGAGGAGATGAATAAAAAAAACAAACGGAGCCTTATCTTGCTCTTCCTTTGTGACACCTTATCTTTTTGCAACATTTTCTGAAGTATGCCCATTGGGAAGCAAAGCTAAACCCAACGCCGAGCATGGCAATATCAATAATATACTAGAATGTAATCTAAGTGGGCTTGGACAGAACCCATAAACATAAAGCACAATGACTTACTACCATTTTGACTGGAGAATAAGAAGTAGCCAACTAGGTGGAGACAAGTTGCTGCAAGGGGAAGTGGGCGGTGCGACCAGTCAGTACCCATCCTTTTTCCTTACACCAATTTGGCATCACTTTATCAAACCCTTGTTTAAGAGATTGATGTCTGATTTGTTAGTATGTCTCCCAATCAAACTAATCTTATGATTCTTATCTATCCCAAATGTAAATATAAAGTTCAAAAATAAGCTCATTAAAGACATGGTCAACATTAACAAAGAAGTAAGTTCTGATTAGGCCAATAGCAATATGATTTCCATTTCCAAATGCTGATCTCAAGACAGAAGAAAAAGAAGTTCCATTTTCCCAATTCAAAAATCTCTTTCTTTCTCACCAATCATGCTCCTCCTCATCAACATGCACTACCTTTCATTCTCTTCTCTCTCTTTATCTCTGACTCACTCTTATCTCCTATGTTCCCAAGCCCATACGGGTGAAAGAACCTACTCCCAAAGTTGGCTCTGCAGCAGAACAGAACACTTAATAGTAACAGCACTAATGAATCCACTCACAGTTTCAGATTCTTCACATTTTCCAACTCTCCTCAAACATCACCTTAACTTGGCTTCTTTTGTACTTCTCATCTTCTCCCTCACCCTTTTAAACTCAACTTCTCAAACCCACAACACACATTCTCTCCTCTCCAGTCTCCAGCTTAAGGTATATAAGTAGTCATGCGTACATACCCTTTTCATTTTTATTCACCCTTCTAGGATTGGCTCTCCAAGTTGTTATTGGAAGCTAATTTTATGTATAGACTCTTTTGGTGTGTAATATAGGCAGCATAGAATGGAAGAAGATCATCATCATCAAGTGGAAGAGGAGAAAGAAGAAGAAGAGAAGATCATGTCAACACAAGAAGCCAACAAAACAGAAACAGACACATCTTCATGTAGACTATTCTCATGCCTCTTCTGTTCTAGAAAGTTCCATAGCTCTCAAGCCCTAGGAGGCCACCAGAATGCTCACAAGAAGGAGAGAACCGATGCTAGAAGAGCCAAAAGAGCTTACAATTTTGTCAACAACAATGACTTGCTTCACACGTTACCTCTCTTCCTATCCTCCCCCACTCCACACCCTTTGACCATCTTAAGCTACCCTCCGTATGCGTCCTTTGCATGCTTTCCAGCTTCTCTTACCGATGTCTTCAGACCCAACGGTGCTCATGTCGTGTTGGCAACATCCCACCAACGTGTTCAAAATTTGGATCATAACATGGTGAATGGTGAGAACGGTGTCAATCAATGTCTTGATCTCTCCCTTCATTTGTGACATTAGAGTTTATTGTTACATCAGTGGTAAAAGATCCGATGATTCCACACGTGACACTTACGTTTATGTTTCTTTCTTGCATGAGAATCATCCTATCGTGGACCGAATCCGAAGATTTATTTGTATCACGATGTATATGGTGTAGTTATATTACCCACGTGGAGAAGCTAATCTGCACTATGTAGAACCTAGATAAGATATTCAAGCTTCTTAAAACTAATAAAAGAAGATCTTCAATATTCATGTGGATACTGGACTTAATTGCTTTAGCTATTGAATGAAGAAAATAAAATTAAAAACAAGACGTTACAAAAAAAAATGGAAAAGAACAGTGACACATGACATAATCTGTTGTTGGCCTAACTCATTATTGTTTTCATAATAGGAGTAGTATCATTGAACATTTATGCATTTTGCAAGAACATTTTAATTAATGTTTTGTCAGTCTGGAAGCCTAATCACTGTCCATTGTCCAACATGTGGAAATTAATGAACCGACTGAATTGTGTGCCTAGTTCTGAAAATTGGATATTATTAAGATTTTGTCTATTGAAATTATTTTCTCTAAAAATATATATGAAAATTATCAAATAATGGTAGATACTATGTGTCCCCAAAAAAGTAGATACTATTAAGCTTTTGGGTTTATATTATAATTAAAAAAGTAAATCAAATAAAAAAAGAAACCCATTGGAGAAAACATATAATATATCATGCTTTTGAGTTTTTCACATACAAATCGTTTCTCTTGTTTACTATCTTCTCAATTTATTTATTTATTACTTTAATTTTGAGAAATATCATGCTTTTGAGTTTTTTCACAGAAAAATCGTTTCTCTTGTTTACTATTTTCACAATTTATTTCATTAATTTTGAGAAATATTTTAGCGGTTGGTCATAGCTTTATTTAAATAATTCTTCAAGACCCTTTAACTTTTTCTTTCTGGGCACCATCATGTAGCTGTCATAGCGGTGAGAGACTGTGGAAACCGTGGGAGAAGAGGACGAGGAGGTCATAGACTCTTCAACTAAAAGAGTTCTTGATATTCTGTATTTTCACCTCTAATCTAAGTATGTTTTTTTGGTTAAAACATCCTAATTATGTTTTAGCTTTTCATAATAAGCTTTTGCTTAATTCTCTATCTTCTTTCAAAACTCAAAAGTTTGTATGTTTGTCCATTTTAATAGAAACTATTTTTATTATATTATGTAGCTGTATATATATGTGTACAGTTGTACTAAACAGTGTCCGAATCTTAGAGCATGTGCAATGGGAAATCTTTAGGGGAGTCTTTAGGAAAAAAATAAAAAAGGGTATTTCAGATTATATAAGGATATTTCAGATTTTTTCTTTAAAAAAAATAAACTGACCACTCACGGACCGCCACGTGTGCAGTGGAGCCCATGAATAATGTAAAGATCAATCCTTACATAAGGATTTTTAGGATAAAATCCTTAACTATTCATAGGACCCAGTGATTATAAAATTAATATTTTTCTAAGAACTCCCCTAAGGATTCCTCGTTGCACATGGTCTTAACGTTTTCTTACAAATATACAGTAGGAAAAATATATGCAAACGATGGTGATTGGGACTTCAGAGTAATAAACGCAAGTTTGATTGGGTTTGATTTTGTAATCTGTCACGTTGAGCTAATCACCGGCGTGTTTTCCGGACATTCGTCCCCTGACGAGAAGATATATACGTTTGTTATATGTTAAACAATGACATGAGACTTTTATGAGAAGAACGTGTCGGAATAAACAGCCGTCGGGCGCGTGATAGAGAAAGGGATGCCGGTGCGAGATTAAATAGTTGGGAGTGAAAATTAGAAAGTAGAAAAACCGCGGTTTGTTTTTTTGTTTTTTTTTTCTTAACATTTTTCTTTGGTTCTAATAGAAAAAAAAAAAGTGATTTCATCTATTTGCTGAAATCCAAACAATATAAAATTTTCAACAAGAATTGAGCCTGAATGACGGAAATTGGAATGCTAATAGACACTCTTTTTCTTTGGTTATTAAAACTTTGGATAAGATTAGGCCAATGACCAGACAAAAAAAAGTGGTCCATCATGATTATTTGAACGTAACTATAAATTTATAAGTAATCAAAGAAAATAAATCCCAACGAAAATCAGTAACCCAACTTTGGCCATTTAGCGTATTTTTCCGAATAGATTTATACATTTTAGTTGGTTAATGTGAAATATATATTGCAGCGTTTCAAGGTCTACTGCGGCTCTGGTTTGCTTCACAAGCTCTACTACTAAAGTGTGTTGGGTTTTATTCTGTTTTTTAGGATAAAGTTCTTAAGTTTCCAAGAAACAATACACAAATGATGTGTAAAAAGCATTATTTTTAAAAAAATTAACATTATATTAAAAAAAATGTGAAACGTATATTTATCTTATTTAGTAAGTACAATAAATGTGAAATTATAACATCACTTAAAACATTTTTTTTTTTTTGAACACCCTCCAAAAAACTTTATATATCTTCAAATATAGTGTTTTTTGCACTACAAAAAGAAACTTCAAAATTTCAAATTTGAAATTTTATGGAGTAAAACTTCATATTCTCAAAACTTCAAATTTGAAGTTTCATCTTTTTATTTACAATTTGATCCTTATATTTACATATCTTATTTATGATTCTTAAGTATTTTTTATTTATCATTTTAATTTTTTTAAAATTTCAGATCTCACAAATCTTCAAATTTATTTCTATAAATTAATATTTACGCATAAATTAAATAAAAATAAAATGAGATTTATATTATTTTAAAAGAATTAGACAACAAGAATATTACCAAAAAAAACTCAATTCATTTTTTTTTAAAGTACAGGAAAATATAATTATGATAGAAATTTAAATATTACAACAACACTAATAATCTGGTAAATTGCCCTATAAGCTCTAAAATCTTCAAACGCAAACAAGATTTTTGTAACCGAAGATGGTTGTTTTTGTTGTTCTTGATGTCTTTTTGGTAAGATTCTTTCTTATTTAAAACGAATGTACTCACGAGTATTAATATCCTCTATAAAAGCTTGTAATCTATAAAAATAAAGCGAGTCATTTCTTACTTCCAAATGCACTAGATTGAACACATATGGGAGTATTACGTAAAATAATTTTATGGAATAATGTTGTATTTTATTTGTAGTTTAATATTTTATTATGTATTTCTATTTCTAATTTTATATTTTAATGTAAATTTTTATTAATTAATATTATTGTAATATTTTATATATGTGTTAGTTATTTATAAAAAAATTATGAATTTTTATTACTTGTGACAAATATAAAGAACATAATGTGATATATAAATAATTTTGAAGTTTTTATTTTGGAGAAGAACACTTTGAAACTTTAAATACAAAGTTTATGAAACTTTAAAATAGATTTTTTTTGAGATTTCGGAGAATGCTCTTATCATTAGAATTTCCACTTTGATTAGAAAAACCAGTTTGTACAACCTATATTTCTGTTCGTATAATTTGTCTCTTGCCGCATCATCTAGATTTTCAACCTTGTCCGTTATAAGTTGCTTAAAATAACTCTACAATTATGGTGATATATTTATTTCAGTACCCAGCCATTTTGAGCTATACTAATGACATAATTTTACCAAATTAATGAAGTTGTGTGACCATTTTCTAAAAAAAAATTAATTAGGTCAAATATAATTCTAGTAGAGTATGTCACTCCCATTTTCTCCTATAAAATAACTCCTTCCACTATAGCCTTTATTAAACTCTTTTCAGCTTTCTCCTTCCTTCTTCTTGAAACACAATAGACCGACAAAAGCCTCTGCATCGGACAGAGACAAAGAAACATCACAGAGCAGAGGAAGAACAATGGGTATCGCCCAAGTACTTGTCCTCTTCGCGTCTGCGTTACTCCTATCATCAATGCTCTTCATTGGCGTCGATTCCACCAGGTAACATGATTAATTGTTATTATATAGAAATTTTCTTAGCTCAGTTTGGGGTTAACTGTTTTACGTGATCCTGGTTCAAAGAACTTAGCATTGAATCTCCAGCAGCAACTCAGATTTTTACGGTAGAACAAGACAACTATTTTTCTTTGAATTTGTAATCTCAAAATTCTTGTAGTTCAGGATCTTTCTATCGACCATGTACAGATCCGTGTCTCGAACACCAATGTTTTATTACTAACTAACAATGCAACAATTCAATTTGTATACTAGTAATGAGTTAGCGAGGTTTTTAGTATATTGTTTTTGTAATTGAGTTGTTTCATGTTGGGTTAGATGTGGAAAATGTGATTTTGTTGTAATTAATAAATTAATTAATTGATTTCAGGTCTAATGAAACACGGCATGAACATGCAGTTGAGAATCCAGACGAAGTAGCTGCCATGGTGGACATGTGAGTTTTTCTGTTGACTGCTTTATTAGAATATTAGTTATTATAATGTGTGTTTTAGCTTTATTAAAATAGTAATCATAACGTAGCTTTGCTAATTAAACAGTTAGTATATGTTTCTTCTATTGCGATTAGGTAGTTAGTAACAATAAAGTGCACTTTACTCTTGAGAACATCTCGGCACGTTTGGTTGGATAATTCATGTGATTTTCTTTTGGAATTAAGAAAAAAAAAGTCAGAAAACTCTTTAGTTGTATTTATGTGGAGCAGAGGACTCACATGGTGCTTCTGTAAGAATATTTATACATTCTGGTCAAAAGGTCATTCAATAGGGGCAAACACCACACCTCAAGATATAGATGCATTTCGAGATAACTTATACTTATAGTATATACATGAAAGGTGAAAGATAGAAATGGGTGTGAGTAAATAATTACTTAGATAAATTCCTTATGCTCATTCTTACTGAGCGTTTCATAGTTCTGGCGGTGGACCAAACACCAAACATCATGTACTGATACATGGATGGGCTCATTTAGTTATAGATGTGGATGGGATTTTCTCAATAAATGCAAGGCCACCAGATCATATAGTTGAATACTTGAAATCATTGAAATAAAACAAGAAAAATATAAGCAATAAATATTATTACTTGCGAAAAATCTTATGGAATTATTAGCCACATTGGTCCACAGGAACACGTGTGATGTTTTTGTTTTGGAGAAAAGCATGTGTAAATGTTCCAACAAACACCTAATCTTTAGTAATAGTGAACTGCGACCAGCCCATGCATATGCCTCGTGTAGTGTTCTTCGAATTATTCCCATTAGTGAAAGTAATATACAGAAGCAGTTATTTGATACTTAGTACATAATCACGGTTTTAGACATACTCAAATGAAACATTAGTTTGTAATTCAATTTAAATATCAATATATAAGACTAATATACTCAAAAAATAATTTTACCAAATCTTTTACTAAAGTTGCATATGGTTTTCAAAGTCTCAAAATATCGCAATTAAGCTAATAACCAATATTATTTGGAGTAGAAATCAAAACCATGTTCCATCGTTACACTTTCATTTTCCAGATATATTAGCCATTATATTTTGTTTTGTTTCCCAGAAATTAAAACGATAGGATTCTTGATACGTGAATTAAACAATTACTACGAAACCATAGCATAATAAATTAATAATGTTCCCACCGACGCACTACGTGGCCCACTCAAACTGGTTAAATCATATCAAACTAATTTACATAACAATTAGTTCGGTTCAACTAAACCGGTTTTAACGGTTTCAGGACCATCCGCAACAGCACAGAGCGGCGAAGACTAGGCTACTTCTCCTGCTCCACCGGCAACCCCATCGACGACTGCTGGCGCTGCGACCGTAGATGGAAACTCCGCCGCAAACGCCTCGCCGACTGCTCCATAGGCTTCGGCCGCAACGCCATCGGCGGCCGCGACGGGCGTTACTACGTCGTATCCGACCCGGGCGACGATAACCCGGTCAACCCGACCCCGGGGACGCTCCGTCACGCCGTGATCCAAGACGAGCCGCTATGGATCGTGTTCAAACGCGACATGGTCATAACCTTGAAAGAAGAACTCATCATGAACAGTTTCAAGACAATAGATGGACGTGGCGTCAACGTGCACATAGCTAATGGTGCATGCGTCACGATACAGTACGTGACGAATATTATTATACATGGGATACATATACATGATTGTAAGCCGACGGGGAACGCGATGGTGAGAAGCTCACCGTCGCATTATGGGTGGAGGACGATGGCTGATGGCGATGGGATCTCGATATTTGGGTCGAGTCATATTTGGATTGATCATAACTCGCTTTCGAGTTGTGCTGATGGGCTTATTGATGCTGTGATGTCTTCCACGGCTATTACTATTTCTAATAATTACTTCACTCATCACAATGAGGTAAGACTTCAATCATGGTTTTGCTTGAGTTTTTTTTTTGTTTTTTTTTTCGGGTTTAGATATATATAAACAGTTCGGATTTGGTTCGGGTTTAGTAAAAATATTTGGAACCAGCTAATACACCAAATAAATCAAGTTTGGTTCGAATTTTGGAAAAACTTCGGATAATTAAAACAAAAATATCGGATAATTCAAGTTTTTAGATCAAATATAAAGTAATTTAGATTGTTAAATATCAGGTAATTTGGTTAGTTCATATAATTCAGAAAAACGTATTTGGGTAATTTAAGATTTCAAATATTTTAAATTTATAAAGCTATATAAATATTTTTAAAAACTAATTATAACTAATATTTTAGGTATGTAAATCATATTTTGGATATTCATCTATCCATTTGGATTCAGAGAAATAAGTACGGAATTTTCATTAACTTTTGTTAGTTCTTTCGTTCGGTTTGGATTTTTGGGTTTTGGATAGCTTAATTTAGGGTTTTGGTAGTGATGATTAATGAAGGAATGTGCTTGACAGGTTATGTTATTGGGACATAGTGATACATACACAAGGGACAAAGTGATGCAGGTTACTATTGCTTACAACCATTTTGGTGAGGGTCTTATCCAGAGGATGCCAAGGTACATACATTGGTTTTAGGATGTTAGGGCAACCACATCAATGAACTCCCACATCAATGAACTCTTGTGAACCCCTCTTTTTTATTATTTTATTATTATTTTTTTCTTTTTCGTTTAAGTTAAAAAAAAAAAATCTCAGACCAATCAGTGACTGACACGTGGTGAATCCGGGTTCATAGGGGTTCACCGCACTGAACTTTTGAGAGAGAAATTCATAGAATTTGATTATTTTATTAATTTTTTCGGTTTGCGAGTGAACCTCCCCATTATTCCTTGATGGGGTGCTCTTACCCCTCAGCTAGATTCGTGTCATTAGGTAGCTTGTTTGAATCTTTTTTTTAATTGCAGGTGTAGGCATGGATATTTCCATGTAGTTAACAACGACTACACGCACTGGGAAATGTATGCAATTGGTGGCAGTGCGAGTCCCACAATCAACAGCCAAGGAAACAGATATCTTGCTCCGAGAAACCGGTTTGCTAAAGAGGTGACAAAGAGAGACTATGCAGGGGAGTGGCAATGGAAGCATTGGAACTGGAGATCAGAAGGAGATCTTTTCCTAAACGGTGCTTTCTTCACACGTTCTGGATCAGGACTTGGAGCTAGCTACGCTAGAGCTTCAAGTTTAGCAGCCAAATCATCATCCCTTGTTGGCGTCATCACATCCAATGCCGGTGCTCTTAATTGCAGAGTTGGTCGCCGGTGTTAATACTTGCTAATTATTTTTGGGGTTCTTTGCGTTTTATACATGGCAATAGCACTACTGAAAAATGTCCGAGACTTGATTTAAAAAACGGTCTCAACTGTATTATAAAAGTTGTATGCTTATATTCTTGTTGTACCACTCTCTTTATGTATCTATAAAAGGCAAGCAAAGTTCGAACTCTTCCGTTACCATCTCATCTTAATATCTCCTTACGACATGGATTACAGAAATTTAAGTTCACCAATTCATTCGTCTTACAAGTACTCTCTTGTTTTACTAAGATTGTCATTTTGACATTTTTCACATAAAGTAAAAAAATAACTAAAATATATATATATATATATATATCTATTAATTATATCTATTTAGTAAATATATTTTAAATAAAAAGTATAAAATTAATATATTTTACAATTAGTATATAAATTTAAAATAATTATAATTTGCATTTGGATTCTAAAATAACATTCTAATATAATATAGGTTGCACGGAAGCTTCGTCGTACGACCACTTCCCGTTCCGAAACCGAAATCGGAATCAGAATCTTGTGGAAGCTTACAGAATCTCGCTTCCAAAACGCTTTTAAAATAACCGAATTAAAAACACGTTGGAAACTTACACTTCCAATTTGGAATCAGGCTACGTTTTGGAAAAGACGATGTTGTAAACTAATAAAAAATAAAAATCATATTTTCTATAAAATCTAAAATTTTATAATATTGAAATGAAAAAAAATAAAAAATATGAAAATATAAAATTGATACTATTAAATATTACATACTGTGTTTTTATTAGAGATAACATATTTATTTAAATAGATTATGTCAGTTATTTATAAAATATTTAAAATAATTAATTGGATAACATTTTTATAAAATTAATTGTTTGTATTTTCACAATTACAATATGAAATCATTTTAAATTATTAAAAGAAATTATTTTAAATTATTAAAAATAATCATTTTAAATTACTAAAAATGAATAAATGCTTTATTTTTAATTAGAATCATATAATTTTAGCTATAACTTTTATTAAATGCTTATATACATATATGTATATTTTTATATTAATAATTCGATATACGCTTCCAACCCGCTTCCGCTTCCTAATTTTTTTTTTTAAAACTGCTTATGCGCTTCCATACGGTTCCGCTTCCATGCTTCCGCTTCCGTTTCCATGTAACATAGAACATAACCAAAAAAATGTCATTACAGAGGGAGTATTAAACAAGACATGCAGTTATTTGTGGAATGTTGTGACAATAATTGATTGTAATGCTTAATGTTAGTGAAGTCCTCATCAGCTGGCCAAGGTCTGGCATGTTATTAAGCTTAGCCAGAAGCCATTATTAGGCTAAGTCTGTTACATGTTGGTTGGGGATGACTAAGCCCGACCAAACCATAGAGATCACAAACCGGAATTAAAAACGGGTGAACCAGACTAACCCCATTTGGTTGACGAGAACATCCCTATTAATGATTGATAGCTGTGGGGTATCGTCTCGATGGGAATAAGAGCGGATGTGAAGGTGGTGGTGAAACCACGTGAGAGGAGACAACAAGCACATGAGAGTGAATTAAAGAAAGGGCCTTGATATCATTGTCAATGTCATGTTATGTTGTTGATAAGATAGGTTTGGCCAATGGCTTGCTATTAAAATATTTGCTTTTACCAAACGCTTCTCCCAACATGTCACACTACCTTAATTAATGTAGTTTGTTTTAAGTAATGTAATTTTTAGACTACTTGAATATCTCGGTATTCAGGTTCGATAAATCTGGCAAGAAAATACATAAATCTCTTCATTTGAATATTGTTGGCAAAGCCTGCAGCGCAATAAGAGTGTCTCAAAGAAGACCACTCTCAGTCTCAGCCCAGAACAGGAGTGAGGAGTTGGGCCTGAATTCACTTAACTCATTGCGCAAACATCTTCAAGGGTCTGCATCAGCTCTGGCCGTGTCTAAGGGAAGTGTTGTTGTCGATAGTGATGAACTGATGATGTAATTTTCGGTGATAATAGTACCAGTATTTTTCCTTCTTAAACGAATAGAGATTATATTATTTTGTGCTCTCACCCATATACAAAACCACATGTTACTAGAGTTATGACTAAAACAACGCATTTATCATGATGGTCAACAAAGAAACATGAAAAATGAATAACTTTAGTCAACGAATAATATTCAGAAATGTAATGTTCAAGGCATTTAAATCTTAGTCACTCCGTTTTTAATAGTTCGTTTTTAACAGACGATGTTTTAGAGTTTTTTTTCTGCCTTAAGCTACAAACCGTTTCAAATTTTAAAATAAAACTTATTGACTTTTATGTTATATGATTTTTATATTTTAAGGGGGGTTATTGTAATCAGAATTTGGAAGAAATTTAGAGATTTTAAGAGTTTACTGATTTTTAGAAGTTAAATAGAGTTAACAAATATTCTCTAAATTTCAATCAAATACTTTGTATTGATTTACATAAATTTTCATTGATTATTATGGATTTGCATAATATATTCTTTCAAAAAGTTTCTTCTTATAAGGCAATTTATTGGTTAAATTATGGTTGATTACATAGTTACTGATTTTTAAAATGTTTAAAATTAAATGTTTTTAATATATTCATAACTCTAAATCATCAGTAACGGATGAACTATTAAATACGAATATCCTTTATTAATACATTTTTATTACCATGATATTGTTTGACTCTGAGGTAGTAGTATATAAGACAGATTATTTGGCGAAAGAAAAACAGATATTACAGTACATCATAAGAAAGACTAAAAACATATAAAAACACTCTCATCATGTCCAAGCAATTTGTTTCTTATTTTATGGTCTTGATGGTTCTCTTCTCAGGTAACTTGTCTTTCTTTATTTATTTATATATATTATCATCTATATTCGACGATACAACTATGTTGATATAGAAGCAGGTGTATTTAAATTGAATAAAATTATTTACATTTTGGCTGCAGTGTTACTACTGGTCGTTCCTAAAACTGAGGCTAAGAGATGCATAAAACCACTTATGCCAGGGACACAATGTTTGTTGGCAAAGTGCAGGGAAGTGTGTTCTAATACGCTAAAAGGATTCGGAACTTGCACTGAGACGCCACCAGGCTCTGATAGATACACCTGTAATTGCTTTTACAATTGTTGAGCTCCATGATTTCTACGATAGTCTACGATGTAAAATTATACTTCAAAAGTATAATATTTTTTTTTAATAAATAACCCTATTTATACTTTTACAAAAAAAATATTATGTACAACTTAAATTTTCTGCGACCTAAGCCAATCTCAAGTCTCAGATAATAATTATCTGTGTGCGTGACAATACTCAGTAAAATGATTCACATATAATTGTTGTACGAGCAAAGAAATATCAGACTACATATGAACAGTGAGACACTTTTGTCTTGGAAAAGAGTATTCCGACTTCTTGTTTACTTTCACCAATAATGCGATTACATCAACACAATGGTGTTTGCTTATCTCGTTGGTTTCAGTTGTTAATTTTGGCCATTCTTGAAGGTTTACTGTTGCTTGAAGTTCAATCAATACCGTCAAGACTGATTTGTTCTGACCAGAAATGTAGAAGCATGATATTGTTCAAGTAAGAGCTGCAGCTCGAACATAAAAGAGATAAGTCATATTTAAGGATTAGCTTTTGCCCCCAAACCATTTCACATATCCCTTGTCATTTAGGAGATGGTTTAACATTTCAAGACTATTCTAGAAAATGGGTTCAAACTTGGTTCTGAATCAGAGAGAGAATGAGCCAGCCATAATATTGTACATTGAAGCCCAATACCCAGATCTCACATGGTAAAAGCCATTCTGGTCCAAACTACAACATATTACACTACAAAAAGTTGCAACTAATCTTCTTAAAATAAAATAATGAGATTGAACTTAAGTAGTACATTTGATATAGAATCCATTAATTAGGTTTGGGAATTTTACCTGAACCTGAAGACTCGACCCGAAAAAACTCGATTCTGGTAGGAACCGACACGATCAAATGATCCTATCGGATCTTGTTGTAGAGAATCTGCGGGTGTTAAACCCGAACCCAAAACCCGATGGATACCCGAATTAATAATGTAGATTAAATAAGAATTAATAATATAGATTAAATAAAATGTATTGAGGAGGAGTCGAAGACGGATAATTTCTCTAGAGGCCAACCACTAGGAGACAACGAATTGTTGTTGTATCTTGCGTAGTTTAATATATGTACAATTTTAATATAATAAAAACACAAATTTGAATATTTTTGGGTATAAAAATATTTTCAGATATTTTTTAGGTTGAACCCGTACCGAATCCGATCCGGAATTGAATTGAATCCGAACCGATAATTTCTAGTTACTCGAATGGGTCCAACTATCTAAGACCCTATGGTACAACCCGAACCGATCGGAACCGAAATTTTGAAATTACCCTATTTGATTCTAAAATTCTAGACCGGAAAAATTCAGACCCATAAGGACCCGACCTGAACTCGACCCGACTACCCGAATATCCAGGCCTACCATTAATATACTTTTTTTGTAACACTAGAATCCATTAATATTCAAAACCTATTATTAATACTCACCATTTGTTTTTGTTTTTCTTAATAATTGGACATTAGTATATTAATACAGTAATAGACGCGGTTTACTTCAAACGAGGAAGAATCTTAAACGCTCGGCTCAAGTCTCGAAAACAAACCAACTCACAATCCTGACTCATTTGAGGAAAACTATGCGAAACCACATGCTCTTTTTCTATCTTAATCTTGTAATCATACTATTTCAAATTCTGATTTTGTATCTTATTCTAAATTTTTTTTCATCCAGCAGATTACATTGAGGGAAATAAAACTATTACTGTCATTTTATACACTAACATTTTTCTTATGGATCAAAAAAATGCTAATCCATATAAATACATTATTTTCTAAAGATGCTAAAACTAACAACGGTAAGTTTTAATCTATGGACTATTTTCATTAGACAGTTGTCTCACCAAACAGATTTTAAAGAAAAAGTTAATGTCAGTAATTAATTAATTTATTCAGCTGAGAAACAGAACCTCGAGGTAAAAGAAAAAGACAGAGCATATGAAGTTCATTACTTCTCTAAAGTAGAACTTCCCTTAAACCCTACGCCAAATAGAGAGAGAGA